ACATGTGTGGATGTGGATGTGTGTGTTTGGTCAGTTGCAAAGTCTTTGTTGTAGAGTCTGACAGCAGTGGAGAGGAAAGACCTGCAAAATCTCTCTGTCCCACATCGTGAGCCTGGCACTGAAGGAGCCGCTCAGTGCTGAGAGTCTCCTGCATGGGGTGGGAGATGTTGTCCAGAAGGGATGATAGCTTAGCCACCATTCTCCTGTCTCTCACCACCTCCACTGGGTGCAGTGGGCATCCTAGAACAGAGATGGTCCTCCGGATCAGCCTGTTCAGTCTCTTCCTGTCCCCAGCAGAGATGCTGCCACCTCAGAAAACCACATCATAAACGAGTACAGTGTACATATAGTGCTCCTGTAGTATACCTACAGGAACTGCTCAAGCACGGAAACTAATGCCATGAAGCTCCCAGCGCAGTGTTTGTGCTGATATTAATGCCAGAGAAGCAGTTAGATCCAGCAGATCGTCAGCTACTTTTACATACAATGCAATGGTTGCAATGGTGGCATGCTATTATACCATGCTCAGTGTCAGTGAGCACTTTATAATGACCTACTGTTTCAAAAATGTTTGTAAAGAGCATCTATATAGCTAGATGCTCTTCATTTCATACACCTGTAGCAATGGCTCTGAAAATACCTTAAGTGTGGCTTAATACTTTTTTTCATATAATGTAAAGTGACTTAATAAAATAAAGCACCAATAAAAAAAAGTGAGCATATATAAAAAATACTGTTTATGTCGCATGTTCATGTATGAGGAGCGGATAATTTGCTTTCATATTCTCCTATTAAACCAGCCAGAATGGAGAGTCTCTGCAGGGCAAGACAATGTTGGTAGTGTTGTTGAATATTGCTCTAATTGTAGCGAAATCCACGTGAAAGACAGAGCTACTAAAACCCGTTTTTAATCATTTAGAGCCAAGCCAGGGAGATACAGGATGGTCTTTAAAATGGTATAGCCAATGATATTAGCATAGAAGATGTGTAGAAGTGTGTCAAGCCATTCCTTTGGATTTCAGATAAGCGCTATGCACTGTAATGCTTAACTTATGGTACCTTGGTTGTGTCTGTTCGTGGAGGTATTTTCCTGAGGAGAACCTTTTGGGGCAAGTGGTCAGCTGCCACTAAAGTTCTCCATCAAAATATTCCAAAATCACAACTGCACAGTGCTCGCCATGCATTGGTGAGAAAAGAAAAAGAAAGCACAGACAGTGACTACAGTGGACACTGTTTTTTCACTTGGTTTCACTTCAGCTCTTTAGATGTAAGAACTTCTGTCTCAGCTGGCTGATGGACCAACAACAGCAGAAGAAAGAGTAGCTTGTAGACAAATTGTACCACATATTTTTGGCTCTGCCCCCAATCTAACAACAGACACTCTCTGCAGGTAGAAAGGCAGTGCAAAGCTGCCCATGGACTGCCAACAGACTGCCCACATGACACCACTGCTGAACCATAATTTCCCCATTAGTCCTACCTGGGTAGTAGATAATAGAGACAGCATTAAAGGACCTTTCTCATTTCAAGACAGAAAGAGACTTCAGCTTATTTCAGTAAGTTCCTTTTCATTTTATCAGTTTTGTCATTTTGATTTCATTCATCTTAACTTATGCTCAAAAAGAGCACTGTCCATGAGCTAAGCCTTATGTTGATGTATGCAGTCATTATTCATGGGTTATATTGAGGCATTGATTAAATTTCTTTATAAACCCAGCTAGATGTTTAGGGACTTTGTTGAAATTGAAGTTGCACTGGTCCTGAATAGCTCAGCTCTTCTTTTTTTTCTACATTTTAAATCTCAGTATTACAAAAAGAAGACACCAGCTGATAACAGCAATGTGTGTTTAGAAGATGACTGTCTGGAAATAAGCATAAGTACCAAGTTATTAGCTGAACAGAATTACACAGGAGACACTTTTTCACTTAACTAATGGCTGAATACCACCCACAGCAACAAGCTGCACCATATGGTAGTGAACCAGCATTTTTAGGCAGTGTTTGCAGTTTGTCTTCTTGTTTTCTCATTTTGTTCTTTTATAATTGTATTTTGGCGATTGATTTCACCTCTTTTATTTCTTTTATTTGGTTAAGGCTTCACTTGTCATTACTTTCATTTTTTTTAAAAGGAACAATGAAGGAAAATCAATTTGTACTTTCCCAGGCTGATATCGCAACTCCACTGCAACTTAAACATTGTTTATCCCATAATTCGTTCCCCACCACAAGGCAGCAGTAAAAATGCCAGAAGACATGTTTCCTTATCAAAATTGAAGTAAATAGACTTACTTTGCATCACATGGTTTAATTAATATACAAACAAAAGTAGATCCTAATCCCTGGATTTGCTAAGAACATGGCAGACACAAAGAGAAGTTCCTCAGTTCACCTACACTGAGCTTGCTGCTGGCTGCTAGCTGGTCCTGGTGGTAATGTGTGAGGGACAGGAGGTTGTTTTTGGCACTCACACATTCAGAGAAGGCCAGACAGTGACATTATGCCAGCCAGGCAGGACTCTAGGGACGGCCATGTTAAATACCATCTCCTGCAGCTCAAATGGCAGAGTTGTAGTGGTGTTTTGGGTTATGTGTTTGTTTGTGTGTCTCTGTGGGTTGTGAAACGTGTATATGTGGCTGTGTGTTTGTACTTTTGCATATCTATGCCTTGTACTGGAATAAACTAGCAATGAATGGGGTTCTGTGCAAAGATGACATTAGAAGAAATGTACAAAAACAGGCCAAGCACCTAATTATCCATCAACGATGCAACATTGAGATAAATATAAACCACCACTGCTGTGGAGCTGGTACAATCAGGTGGAGGGTGGTAGGGAAAACTGGGAGAAAGAAAAGGCATGCGGCTGCAAGCTTCTTCTCAGATGATATTCACAAACAAGGAATGATTTGTTCTTGGTTGTGTTGATAGAGTAAACTCTGAAACTCTGCTGTTTTCAAAATACAGAAAATGGTTTGGGGCATTATGTGACAATCCAGCAAAAAATTCTGCAAACAGCAGATGTGCTGTGACAGAGCTACTGTATGAGACAGAACAGACAGGGTAGAAAAACAGTGAGTGATACATAAATGCCTTGTTCAAAAATAAGAGATGGTGATAGCGCTCAAAAATGACAGTTTGAACTGATTCCGTTTCGTCAAGGTTCAAAATACCGGAAAGATAAAAAGACTTTTACACACAAGAGAAGTAAAGGGAAAAGACAAAAGATCAAGAAAGGATGTGCATTTATCAGCCATGAGCTTTTTTCTTTTTTTTCTTCTGAACAATTAGAATTGCATTTGTACATCATCTAAAGAGGCACTCTTATTTTTAATGCACCTTTTGGATTTATTTGTTTTTTTTTAAATAGTCTTAATATAACCACATGGCCATTTTTACACAGCTTCTGTGCTATTAACTTGCACCCTTCTAACCTGCACACAGATCTCACTTTCAAGTGTTCTTGTTAAAAGAACAGTTGAAAGCTGACCACTGAGAAATCACAGCAGGGAACAGTTTGGGAGCCGCAGAATCAATGTCATTCTGAATCTCTATCTCAGTTTCACTATTAATGCTATTAATTTCTATATGTAGTGCACACACACACACAACCCCGTTCAGCTATCTTAGTGAGGACCTTCATTGACATAATGCTTTCCCTAGCCCCTTATCCTAACTCTAACTGTTAAAAATGAATGCCTAACCCTAACCCTAACCCTTACCCTAAACCTGACCACAACCTAATTGTAACCTTGACACTAAAACCACATTTTGATCCTCAAAAATGCCTTTAAATGCCTTCAAATTTGTGAGGACCGGGTTGTGTGTCCTCACAAGTGACTGTTGGTTCTCACAAAGATAGCTAGACAGGAGCACACACACACACACACACGAACAAGCGTTTCCAACCTTAGACAAGGGTTCTATACATAAATGAAGAGACAGTCAATCACACTTTTGGTAGACGGGGAGCAAGTGACAGGGAGTCAGAGAGCTGCTGACTGTAGGAGAATAATAACAAGATGGACCAACCTCCATCGGTTACCAGCATACTCTAGCAGTTTATGTGACTTTTGAAGCAGACTCTCCAGTGAAAAATCTAGTCTTGGTCCACCGATCAGCCACTATTTCCAGAACCACAGTACTGCAGTGGTTTTGCTAGATTTTAGCAATTGCTTTAAAATGCTTGTTCAATAGTCCCAACAGTCACAGTCAAAATAGTTGCAGAGTTGCAAGTGCCGCTTACAACAGTGAAAAAAGGGCAAGATTAGGATAAGAGTCAGATTTTTGCTATGCTCAGATTACTTTTATAGTTAAATATTTAAAAGAGCTGCAATAAACAGAGAGGTAATCAATGTATCTGATAGGTCAGCTGACACGCATCTAATTATGCACCTTAAATTTCGTTTAATATGCAGGTGGAAGGGTGGGTGTGTGCAGAGTTAGAATAATAGGTTTGTTTTGGGTCTAAGCTTGCTTTAGTGGCTAATTGCTTAAAGCTATACTGTATCACTGTACACAGCATACACAGTAAACAACAGCAAACAGTAAACAGTATATAGTATTAAGTTTGTACCAGCCAGATACTCTTAAACTATAATGTTGTCATGAAAGTCTATGGTGCATTAACTGTTGTGTGGCTGACTGTAAAACAACTATAGATTATAGACTGTAGTTCTGTAGTATCTTACAGACAATTAGGACTGTGTCACATTCACACATTAATTTTGTAGCCTGTTGATACCTCAGGCCATGTGTTACAGCCATGTGAGGAAACATGGCTACTTTTCAACATTTGTGATTGAATTCCTCCAGCCAGTTTTATCGAGACTGTGGAGACTGCAAAGATTAGGATATCCAGCTATCTGAGCTGACAGCTCTGAAGCAACAAAATGTCAATTCCCACTCAACAATTAAAAACTTAAATGCACTCATTCACTGATATTTCAAGTAGAATGAAAAGCATGCACTGTATAGAGTGGAAGCCATTATGTTTTGCAATTTACCTATTCGAAAGGAGAGCGGGCCACCAAAGGTGCTTCTCACCCACATGGCTAAGAAGAGCAGAAGCGCCCAGGCTGTGAGCATCTTCTATGACTCCTCATGGGTCCTGCCCCGGGGGTGCCCCTGTCACAGCCACCTGAAGAATATACAAAGAAGAGAACACCATTTATACATCAGCAGGCATCAAGTTGGACACGCACACAAGCCACATCTGTGCAGAATAGTGATAAGCCTTCGGATATACAGTGCCTCATCTCTGTTTTGCTCATGCCATCTCTCATTGCATGCTAGGAATCTATTAGTGTCAGTGCGAGACTGCAGCTAAGTGAATTTTAAGCCTATGGGAGTTTTAATGACTTTGCTGTTTTTTCTGTATTACTTGGCAACAGTCTTTTTATTTTTTTTTTAGGTCTTTGTTGTTTTGTTACATATTTAAACATAAAATCCATTTTTTATCTCCCTGGTATTGAAGCAAAAAGTCACATAAGGTGGCTTGAAGCATCCTGAACCAAATTTCTGGGTCTGTATTAAACCCTCTGAGCTGTTTCCATCAGGAATTATAAAGGACCGAAAACCAAAGGGGATATATTTGACTTCCATTTCCCAGGTGGACAGCAATATGACTCCAAATGACTCCAAATGAATCATAATGTTGTTCCCTGTTTCCCGCCTGTGTAAATAACTAACTGTTTGCTAAAAAGGTTTGCCATACCAGCGAGTTTTCTACCCACAAGAGGCACAAAATGGAATTATCGTAGGTAATAGCTAAGAAATAGTTTCATTTTTAATAATTTTAGTATTAAATTTCTACTAATTTTATTCTATTTTATTTGTTTTTCCCATGTGCAGTTAATGTCCCCTAGATGTAACCATTTCCTATATTTTCTTTATATTTTCCCTCACCTAACTGCATGCAGCTCTATCAGACTAAACACTAGAAAATCAACAGATGCCATAATTAATTCACAACATGATTCACAAATGTAAACCATTAATGCGTTTGACGGTATTTTTAACCCTATTTTACCTCATCACACCTTCTCAAAGTGATTTTCAGATGCTTGATTAAAACAAGATCTGTTCACTCTTCATCAAGGTCTGACGTTATTCAAGCTGACATTTACGAGAGCTTAAAGGAGTGGGTGGTTCTGGTACGCAGCGATAGAGGATGGCGTCTTCTCTTTGACAGTGTTTTATGTTCCAGATCAGAAAGAGACTTTCTGTTTTTTTTAAAGGGGGATCTAGGGTGGGGGGATGGGGGTCAGGGACAAAGTCACTGCAACCACAGTGACTGTTTTCTGCTATAAAGTACACTACAGCTGCGTAAAATACTTTATTTTCAACAAAAAACAAGCAAAGTTTCTTTCGGCTCATCCTACCAAACAGAGTAAGCCAGTTAGGTGCGTGGAGGGCAAAGCATCCAAATGTCAGACAGCATGAAGATGGCAGACAGCAAGGCTATTGCAGCTGGACTGGAAAGAGTAAGGTCCTCTATATTTATGCAGGCACAAAGCCAGTAGAGGTGCAAATGTAGCCACAATATTATTTTCAAAGGGAGGAAGCTGACAGTCCTGCGTTTGCACCTGTGTGATTATTCTGGATGCAGGAAGACACTCTTTGGACTACAGGACGTGCTTATCTAGAGTGTCTCAGCTGGGTAACTGGACCAGAGATGGACAACATTTAAAGAGGGAGATTTGAAGATTGAGTCAGTGTCATGCAAATCTTAGTATCGGTTCATTTCAAAGTTGTTTCATTTAATCTACACACTTTCTCACAGATTTTAGTGTTTGCTGCTATGTGTAGCATGTTTTTGGTTAATATGCCATTTCTTAGCCAAGGCCAGAAAAGTAGCATGTGAGTATAAAACCAGATAAATAAATGAGTCACAATGCAAGTCTTACCATGGCATGAAACTTTCTTAATGTGTTTGTTTTTTTTTATTTGTTTTACAGTACTGTAATTGGGTTAAAGTTGACTGGAATTAGCATTCCAACACCTTCTATTGATGAGCCATCAAGTCTGACAGGCAGGTTAATAAATATTACTTTCACATATGTGTTATGTGATATTTTCACGTGTTACAACCTGACATGGCTTCCAGTGACAGCATGGACAGCATTGCTCAGCAACAATAAAAATAAAAATATCGCAGGTTTACATACGCTCTCAACACATTCCTTTTCTCATTCTCGTGACGCATTCAGGGTGCAGATGTAACTGAAGTTGCAGTTGTGGTACTTTGGCATTTCTTTAAATGGCAGGTTATTTTAAATTCAGCTTTTAAAATAACGCAACAAGTATCACCAAACACACAACTTGTTTCTGCACAGTTTGTCACACAGTTTGTCTGCTAGTTAAATGTACATTTGCTGTATTTCCCGAGAGAGAAAAAAAAAAGTTAATGAATGCCATCTCAGAGATAAAGATGTAAGAAAGAGAGAACAGAGAGGAACGATCAGAGATTATCGACAAAGACAAGGACTCCAGCATGTAATGTCCTAATTCACTTTCAACTTTTTCAATTAGATCTTTAATCTGTGCATGATGTGCTGCTGAATTAGGTTTTTTGTGAAATGTCATGCAAAAGAAACTTAAGTTTACTAATTATGCAGTGGATTTAAAAGTTCCATGAAAATACTGTACTAGGCAGTTTGGTACACTTTAGTGCAGGTTAAGCTAGTCAGTATGCAGTACTGTGGTAAAGGTCGCAGTGATGTTCACGGTTTATGTTAGGTTACAACCAGGGTAATAACATCAGTTTACCAAAAAATATACAGATCAGATTCACTCACTGAATTTCACCTCTTACTCTTGCTTTATACAGTCTAGGGTTGGAAACCTGCCCCATAGCTTATGAAACATCTGCTCAAACTCTGAGCATCTCACAGCAGCAGCATCACAGGTCAGCTGATCACAGCCTGAACACAAACTCACAAAATAAGTTTTTGTGTGAATTAATTGAAGTAATTCTTCTCCCCACGGTGCGCTGCTACACCTTAGCATTCCCCACCTGCCAAATCAGGCTTTAATAAGCCCTCACTGTACTGTACATGTTGTTTCTGAACTCACTAACTAGAAGGAAAAGAAAGGTAAAGGAAAGTGAAGCAAAGTCCTTTTAGGAACAGAGCAGACACACAGATGATTATTTTGCAGATGTTTCTGGAAATGTATGGATTAGTGAACAATATAAGCAAAAGGAAAAAAGAATAATTCCCCATTAACTGCACTGGTCATTACATGAGGTTTACCTGGATCTGCATGTAGTGTTCATATTACCAATATAAACCTTAAGCAGCTCACCGCCTAAGATGGCAATAAGACCGTCCCTCTCTGTTCTCGCACTACCTTACTGTTATTGCTCAGGAGCCCAGAGGAACAGCTGGATAGGACTGTCAACACATCAAGATCATTTCACAGACTTTTTCTAGGAAAACTATGCAAATAACAGCTGTCGAAGGTCTTCCCTTGAGGTGTTCAGCAGAGAAGAAAAACAGAAAAACAGCACTGAATGACGCCCATTCCAAAACTAATTGAGTACTGAATATTCCTTGCAGCTTATATCATTATGCACACAGGGGGATTACGGCGCTTTATTGTTCAATTAGACTGACTTTACAGCAGCATGTTTTCAACAATGTAAAATACGTTCATCCAGCTAACACCTGATAACCCAGTGTAGAACGGGGAAGACTGAACAGGAAGTGAAAGATTTTTTTTAACTACCAAGATTCCCGACACAAACAACAGCACTGTGCTAGTTAACAATATAAACCCTTCCAACAGGGTGCCATTTATTTGACTGCATATGAGAATATCAGAAGTGAGACATTAAATTAAAAACACAATGCTCAGTCCCTTGATACTAAATATGGCCAATCAATGTCAATGATAGCTTAGATATGTTGCAGAAGCCTTCACAGGCTAAATCACCGCTGAGTAGAGACAAAAGCTTTGGCAGGCTTTAGAGTGAAAGTCAATGCAATCTGTAACACTAATGGCTTTTCAGTGAGATAAGCTCATTCATTTTAGCATTCAACACAAATTCCAATACGCTCGATACAGGGGTAAAATGAAAACTGAGCTGAATGATTGCCCTCATTTTTAACACACCCAAACCCATGATATCAATTTCAGTTCAGCTTCTCTTTTCAGAAACACAAACACAGACTGATATATCTTTACTACCGCAGGGCTTCTGTACTGAAGCCAAAGTGGCTAAATTGCATGCTGGCTCTTTAGGTTGTGCTTGGGATAAAATGACTTTGAAAAAATATAATTCTATTAAGAAAAATACGCAGTAAAAAGAACAGAAGCTGAAGCGGTTCGGGAGACAGAGGTATATAATGCTCCTTGATACACTCACTGCTCCAAGCATTCTTCTGTTTACTCACCACCAAAAATGGGCAGTAACGCGTTACTGTAATCCGATTCCTTTTTTCAAGTAATGAGTAATTAGATTATTCAGCGTGCTTACGAGAACGTAACAGTAATCATTACTGTTACGTTCTCGTAAGCACGCTGCGTTACTAAACCGTGATTTTGTTTATGATAGTGTCTCATGACAATGACGTAGAAGCATGTGACGTCTGTGCCGTGGTAGCAACAGGCTTGTGTAGATCAATAATAGAGGGCGGGAAAAAGTATGACCGTGCAGCGTTTTAAGCTTGGAAGTACTGACATTACTTTGAGTTTGAATCTGTAGAAATCTTCTGATGTACACTCTCCATTGGAAGAAAACTTGTTTATACAGTGAAAATTTAACTTCAAATTAGGCAAACCTCCACCTCCACTCCTGCTAAACAGGTGAAAATAGATTTAAGAGCGACGGGACTTAGTGCTGTTGAATCTTTGATTTTATTTCTTTTTTGCTGTTATTTAATCGCATCTATTTGAAAGAGGGAGTGTAAACACAAAAAATTATTTTATATGCTGGAATATGCAGAAAATAGGTTTAAAGGTTAAACAAATGTCTTCAAATCAGAGACTGTTGCACATAATTAAATTTTTGCTTGATGCATAAAGTTAAAGACTTTCACACCAATATATAATCAACTGAAACTTTGTTACCGTAGGTACACCTGTTCAACTGCTTGTTACATAAATATCTAATCAGCCAATCAGATGGTAGAAATT